CACACAAAAGCACAGCAAAATAACAGCAATCAATTCATACCTATCAACAAATTACACTGAATGTATAAGGATTAAATGCACCAGTCAAGAGACAGAGAAAGCACAATGGATTAAGAATAAAAACAGGACCGTTCAATATGAAGTATATAAAAGACACCAAAGAGATGGAGACACCTTACATGCCACCAATGGAAAAATGGTAAGACAAGCTCCAGTACCTGTGTGCAAAGAAATGCTGCACAACACTAAAGAGTAGCAACGAATCTGCAGCGCATCTAATGGCACAGATGGGCCTGGTGAACATTATTGGTGAGTCAAATTGGTCAATCACAGAAGGACAAATGTTGTGAGACCAATGTAGTAAAAGGTTAAGAAAATATTTTCATAATAAAATAAACAATTGATGGTTATGGGGGAGGGTGTATGGAAAATTATTCATGGGCTAAAAAGTAGATACATGTTAATATGGATGACAGAGCAGACAATATACAACAAAAGGGAGGTTAGCAGAGGAAGGATGAAGGTATTGGAAGACACAGAGAGGAAGGTGATCATTAAAGTGAACAGAGGTAAATACTGTTAACAGTTGGTACATGATGGAGATTGCAATCATTGTAATGGAGCAAAGTATATGGTAATGCTGAATGTAAAACTGATGATCTGCATTATAATCCTTCATCCAATTCACAATAAAAAGCTTTTTAAAAAAAAAGACAAAAAAGATCAAAATGAATGTCAAAAGAGACTCTAAAACTCACTCTCCAGTGTAAAGATGCTAAAGCAAATGGAAGAAAAGAGGTGGCAAAAGAGATGAATGGAAAATTTCAAAGGGCAGCCCAAGAAGACAAAGTAAAGTATTATAATGAAAGGTGCAAAGATGTGGAGTTAGAAAATCAAAAGGGGAGAACATGCTCATTATTTCTCAAGCTGAAAGAACTGAAGAAAAAATTCAAGCCTCAACTTATGATATTGAAGGATTCAATAGGTAAAATACTGAATGATGCCAACAGCATCAAGAGGGAAGAAATACTGTACCAAAAAGAAATGATCAATCATATCAAGAGGTATCATATGATTAAGAGTTGATGATGAAGACTTCTTCTACCAAAGGAAGAAGTCCAAGGTGCACTGAAGGTGTTGGCAAAAATAAAAATTCTGGGAATTGACAGAATTCAAACTGAAAACTTTCGACAAACCAATGCAGCACTTGAGGCACTTATTTATGCCAAGAAACTTGGAAGACAGCTACCTGGCTAACTAACTGGAAGAAATCCACCTCTAAAGAGAGGTTACCCAACAGAATGCGGAAACCACTGGACAGTATCAGTAATATCACATGCAAGCAACATTCTGATAAAGAAAAAACAGCTGCAACAGTACATTGACAGGGCAACTGCCAGAGGCTCAAGCTGGATTCAGACAAGAATGTGGAATGAGGGATATCACTGCTGAACTCATATGGAGTTTGGTATAAGCAGAGAATTCCAGAAAGATGTTTACCTGAGCTTTACTAACTATGCAAAGGCTATCAACTATGTGGATCATGGCAAACTACGGATAATATTGCAAAGAATGGGTATTCCAGAACACTTAATTGTACTCATGAGGAACTTGTACATACTCCAAGAGGCAGTCATTTGAAGAGAAAAAGGGGACACTGAATGGTTACAATCAGGGAAGGTGTTCACCAGAGTTGCATTCCTTCAATATACTTATTCAATGTGTATGCCAAGCAAATAATCCAAAAAACTGGATTATATGAAGAACGTGGCATCAACATTGGAGGAAGACTCATTAACAACCTGCAATATGCAGCTGATTCAACCTTGCCTGCTGAAAGTGAAAAGAACTTAAAATATTTACTGATGAAGATCAAAGAGCACTGCCTTCGGTATGGATTACATCTCAATGTAAAGAAAACAAAATTCCTCACTACTGGACCAATAAATAACATGGAGAAAAGATTGACGTTGTCAAAGACTTCATTTTGTTTGGCTCCACTATCAACACTCAACAGAAGCAGCAGTCAAAAAATCTAATGGTGTATTACACTAGGCAAATTAGCTAAAAGAGCAAAGATATCAGTTTGAGGACTACGGTACATCTGACCCAAGCCATGGTATTTTCAATTGCCTCATATGCATGTGAAAGTTGAACTATGAGTAAGGAAGACTATAGAAGAATTGATGCATTTGATTTATGGTGTTGCAAAAGAATACTGAAAGTACCATCGAATGCCAGAACAACAAACAAATCTGTGTTGGAAGAATTACAGCCAAAATGCTCTTTACGAGCTAGGATGGTTAAGACTTCATCTTTCATACTTCGGACATATTGTCAAGAGGGACCAGTCCCTGGAGAAAGACCTCATGCTGGGTAAATTAGAGGTCCAGCAAAAAAGAGGAAGATCCCCAAGGAGATGGACTGGCACAGTGGCAGCCACTATGGGTTCAAGTGTAATCACAATTGTGACGATGGTGAAGGACCATTCTGTTTTGCCTAGGGTCTCTATGACTGGGTCTCAACTCATCAGAACCTAACAACACACAAGGCAACACAACTCACAAAGAAACACAACACGCAAACCACAGTCAAAGTGGAAAATAAAATAGAGGTTTTATAGAAGAGAAAGGAATACTGGTGTGGTGCTGTCAGATAAGACTGGACTGCTAACTGAATGGTTAGTGGTTCAAACTCACCAGTTGCTCCTCGGTCACTAAGAGTTGGAACTGTCTCAATGGCACTTACAACATAGATGAAAAAAACAAAGTATGTTTGATAGGTAGGAGAAGGTAAGGCGGCAAAGAGACAGACCAATTAAGTGGGTAAGAACAGCTAGAAAGGAGTTAAAACAAGGCAGTCAAATAATCAGTCTGCAATATACCTGCAGGTACTGTAGAAGAGATGCCCCTCTTTGTGTAGCTGCTTTGCCAATTCCAGCTGATGATTGTTCATCAATTTTTCATTTATAACGACAACAAGTGGCTTGCCTTTTTCTAGAGTCTCCAAACAGCTTCCCGCACCTACAAAAATAAACCAGTTTGTTATAATAAAGTGCTCCGCCATCCTTTACAGATAGAATTCAAAAGTCAGTTGACTGAACTACAAACCAGGCCTCTCAATTACCTAGTTCAAATGACAAATATAGTTATCAATCGCTCTTAATGAAGTATTATAAAACCTACTTGAAAAAAAAAATACATTATTTTACCACCACTGGCAATATTATGGCCTATGATTCAGTACACTGTCACTTGCCCTGTAGTCATAAGCTCTGGGTATGACCTTGAATCCAACTAAGATTCAGGTGCAACATATTGTAAATGAAGTTTTCAATCAAAGTTAAGTAGAAAAACCTGAGCCTTCAGTAGTGGTGGTGGTGGTGTGCCATGGGGTAGATTCCGACTCATAGCAACCCTGCATGGAGTTTCCAAGGCCTTAAATCTTTACACGAGCAGAAAGCCTCATCTTTCCCACACGGTACAGCTGATAGTTTCAGACTACTGACCTTGAAGTTAGCAGCCCGACTCATAATCCCTGCGCTACCAGAGCTCCTAGTGAGGGGGTAGGAACCTTGTTCTCCAGTGGATTCTGACTCATGCCAAGCCATTGTGTTACAGAGCAGAATTGCTCCACAGGGTTTCCTGGTGGTATAGTGGGTTAAGTATGTTGGATTGCTAACCAAAAGGTCAGTGGCTCCAACTCACCACTTGCTCTGCCAGAAAAAAAAAGGTGGCAGTCTGCTTCTGTAAAACTTTATGGCAGTTCTACTCTGTCCTACAGTATTGCTATGAGTCGGAACCATCTCCATGGCAGTGGGAATCTTTACAGTCACATTATCAAACCACTAACCTTAAGGTTAGTAGAGACCAGTAGAATAACGATGTGTACCACCTGCACCAATTAAAAAAAAAAAAAAAGCTGTGACTACGTCTTACAAGTCTGTTTTAAATAAAAACCCATAGCAATTGAGAGTTGATTTGAACTCATAATAACGCTTATAGGACAGAGTGGAACTGCACCATTGGGTTCCCAAAGCTGTCAAGCTTTAAGAAAGAAGCCGGCCTCATCATTTTCCCGTAGAATAGGTCGTGGGTTGGCATCATCAACTTTTTTGTTAGCAGTCCAATAAATAAACCAATGTGCAGTCACTAGATCTGTTACGTTATTGTTGTTGTTAAGGTGCTGTCAAGTCCATTCCAACTCATAGTGCGCCTGTATAGGGCTTCCAAAGAGTGACTAGTGGGTTTGAACCACCGTCCTTGCAGTTAGTAGTCCAGTATTTATCCTACAAAATCATACTTTAGCATCCCCAAAATAGTGAGGAACCGATCTGCATGAATATGCACACATAAACTATCAGAAACAATCCAACTTTGAAATCTAAAATACTTGAGATATTTTAAATGGGAGAGGAGACTGACAAGCAAGTAGACCAATCTTTGATAGATTTTAGACATTACATAAGAGTGGTAGTTATGAATATCCTCTCTAGAATACCTTCTCCAACACCAGACTGTGAAAAACCTCTGTCTCAGTTTCTTCGTTTGCATAATAAGAAATATTAATTGTGGCACTGTAGGGTAAGCAGCAGTTCGAAACTACCAGCTGTTCCGCGGGAGAAAGATGAGGCTTTCTGCTCCCGTAAGGATTTACAGCCTCAGAAAGCCTGTACAGGGTCGCTATGAGTCGGAACCGACTCCACGGCACTTAACGACAACAAGGGTAAGCATTCGACCGCAAAGTTGGTCTGAACTGCAAGTTCAGTGGTTCAAACTCACCAGCTGCTCCTCAGAAACCATACACTATGCATTAGTGACAACTTGACAGCACTAACAACAACATGGTACTTAGGAGTCCTGGTGTGGCGCTACACCATAAGCACTGGACTGGACGGCTAACTGCAAGAATGGGGGTTCAACCCACCAGCTAAGGTCACTATGAGTCAGAACCGACTCAATGGCACTTAACCACAACACGAGAGAGAGGGAGTCCTGGTGTGGCGCTATACCATAAGCACTGGACTGGACAGCTAACTGCAAGAATGGGGATTCAACCCACCAGCTAAGGTCACTATGAGTCAGAACCGACTCAATGGCACTTA